CCTGCTGAAGAAACCTGGGACCTGGAGCCAGTGTGTGTATGGGTGAATTAAGTCAGAACCTCTCTTGCTTCACAGAAGGACTCTGTATTTCCTTCAGAGCATTCCTAACTGGGAGCAAGAGAGGAGACCAGACTCAGAAATGGGAGTCTCCTTGAATGCCTTGTTTTTGTTTTGAATTCTGTTAGTCTTCAGGATATTCCCATCATTTAGTCTAAGTTCATCTCCAGTAAGGCACTTTGGGAAGGAAGGCATTTGGTCTGTCTACAGTAGTACGCTCCCTTCCCCTGTGTGGTTTCATTGGTCAGCACAAGGTAAAATGATTTTGCTAGAAAGGGATAGGCATAAGCAGAAATTTGATGATGATGGTTCGTTGACCTCGATAACCTTTTCATCTTTCCTTTTCCTGGTGTCAGTAGAACCACTGTTCTCCTGCAGTAAAAATATGTTAGAGGATTTGAGAAGCTTAAGAAGATTAGAGAGAGATTTCTGTGCTGTCTGCAGGAGAGTGGCAACTGTGTTCAGGATGGAAATTTTTTTTATCTTTTCAGAACTTTGAATTTCTGTAACGAGGCTAGCTCCACTAATTGATGCCACCTAATACTTCGCAAGATTTGGACTAGTAAATTCGGGGGAAAAGAGTGAATGAAATTCTATTTGCTCTGTAACTGCATTGTGTAAATAGTTTTAGCTGTGTTGTAATGGACCTGTGGTGGAAGTTGCAGTTGTTTTCACCATTTGGATGTCATATGAGATGAACTGTTAATTATTACTGCAGCTTAACTGTCTTCTGCTTGGAGCGGTAAGCCAGATGGGTAGTATTTTAAATCTTTTTTTTTTTTTTTTTATCCTCCTGTTTGTAGTAGTACAGAACCCTCAGGCAGTTCCCAGGAATGGTTCTGCAAAGATCAGGATGTTTCTGGCTCCTTTGTATTTGATGAAAAGCAGAAGAGAAATGAATGTGAAGATGAATGCAGACAGACTGACAACACACCAGAGAGGTATGAGATAGAACTTCTGTGATTTACTAATTGAAATATTTCAATACATGCTGATGCTGTCAGGTTTTTGTAGGAAATGTTTAATGAGGGAGGGTAGTTAATGCTCGGCTTTGGAGTTCGGCACTTCTGATGTTGAATGTAATCGGTCACTGGTACAGAGCATTGAGTGTTGAAAAACGGCCAGCATTACAGAAAAAGGCAGTGTTTTTTCAGCTTCTCTGTTCATACAGTGGAGTACTGAGGTTTCTTTAACCACTGTTGGCAAGTGTTGAAAGTAGGATACCTTTTGCAGAGGCAAGAGTGAGCATCCTTAATTAACAGTATTACGCCTGTCTGCAGAACAGCAGGGAGACTAACAGTGAAGCACCTTGTGCACTTCCCTGTTTACTGAGATGTCTTGGTCTGGGTGCATGCGTGTGGAGCTGAAAATGGTTCCACTTCCAGGCTTCTTCCAGGTTTCTTCTGTGATTGTGACTGGGTTCACTGCCCAAAATATAATGGAGTGATTACCAAAATTTGAGCCATTTTCTCTGTGCTCCTCTGTTGTGATTGAAGAATCGTACCTAAAAAAAAAGTTTTCCTGTGTGGCACGTGCCATTATTTTGCAGAACTCTGATAAGCATTTAAACACAGATGAAAAACGTTGTGTACAAAATCTGTGTCTTATTTTTGTAGTTCCTCGTCTCCTGATTCTTCTCCAGTATGGAAACGCAGAAGAAGAAACAATTCTGACTCCTCTCTGGTTTCAAACAGCAAAAACCATTATGTGCATATGTACCACACACTAGAAAGGTATGAAATGATTCTGAATGTGGAGATTCATTGATATTATAAACTGACTTTTGGAATGTGACTGGTATTTATCCCTCCGTTTGTTAATAGGTTTAATTTTGTCTAAATGTGCATGCAATTTAATGAGGAACAAAAAGAATGACAGAATAATTGGGTTGTGTGATAGCAAATATTTACAGTGGTCTGTTGCAAAGGTAAAGAAATTTCAGTGTCAGAAGACACAATATAGGTTATTTTTTGTGTGTAGATTTAGGCAGCACCAATGTGGTGTTCTTGATTTATCATGGAACCTGGTTTCTGCTTCAGAGGTTGCGATTCTGAAATGGTTAGGCACCTGCCATGGTTATTTGTCACATCTCTTATGTGCACTGCATTCTGCTTCCTGGCGTACAGAGTGTGTACAAGTTGATGAATGTTATGGTAAAGGAACGGAGCCCAGTGGGCACTCATAAGCCTGTCAGCGAATACTGGAACTTGCTGCCGATTTGATTATTACCATGTTATATTTGCTACGGGTATTAGAGAGAATATTGTAAATGATTACACAATATTTGTCAAGTATCTGTGAAGGGGTGGGAAAGAAGCTTTGTGTATTTTGATTAAACTTTTCCCTGCCTTGTGAAAGATGGTGTGGAAGAAGATGCTTGTTGGAACAGCAAGGAATTGGTCACCCAGCCTGGGACTGGGACAGAGGGAAGTTAATGTTCAAAAATGGATAACAGGAGGGTAGCGTTGTTCAGGCTAAAACCTTCTTTATTCTAAGTTGTTCAGGAATTAAATCACTCCTCTAGTGACTGGTCTTAATCATGTTTCTGTTTGTCCACATTCCTAGCTGCTGCCCTAGAAGTCTTCCTATAAATGAGAAAGGATAGGTTATGTAGAGGAGAGCATGGTTTGACTCTATACAAAGTTTTGTTAGAACCACAAGAAAATGGGAACAATTATTCAAGTTTTTTGGGATTTAATTGACTTTTTCATGCTAGCCTTAGTAATAATGTTTGTATAGATGGGTTTTTTTCTTTTCTAAACAAAATTTTTTAAAAACTTTTCTAAGTTTAAAATACTTAAACCCCTTATCTTCAGAAGAATTAAGAGAAACTGTGTTACAAAGGTCCATGGTTTGAGACCTTTTCATTTTCTTTCTAGTCTCACTGAACCAGGACATCGGGAGGCTTTTTCACAGTACTCAGAGTGGGAAACATTTGGTGAAAATGACGAAGTAATGACAGCACAACACGGGATAGAAATAACAAGGTAAATGCCCTAATGATTTTGTTGTTCTTTCTGTTTATTGCTTGTGCTGTGGAAGTATCCTTTGCCTTTTTTAGTCTTTATCATCCTTTCCTGTTTAATACTAAATTTTTTTTTTCTCCTAATGTTTCCTCCAGTATGTTTGGTTGTTATTTTTGTTCTGTGAGTTTACTTGGCTTTTTCCAGTCTGACTCTCCACCTGTTGCTTTCTGCGGCTTCTGCCAGTAAGTAATGCTGGAAGATGATGAACCCCTTTCACCCTCTGTCTCCTACGGAAAGCAGTGGCATTTTACAGAGTTGGGCCCCATGGTTGTTACTAGCCTCAGGCTAGGAGCTGAAAGCTTGCTCTGTCTCCTGAGAGATGAAGTTGTTTTGTAGCTGAAAACAATGATAGTTATTTGTTTTTATGCAGTGACCTGATTCCAGCCAGCTGTTCTTCAGGATGGAATGATCAGAAACAGAAAAAACCCAACTTCTTTCTGCCTGACAGCAAAACTTACAGAGATACAGACTGCAGGCTGGAGAGGTATGAAATGCAGCTCATCAATCAGGGGCTTTTTTTTTTTTTGTATGAAGTTAAAAACATAGTTGCTTTATTGCTGCATTTCAATCCAAGTTTTTATTATAAACATAGATTTTATTCTTTTTTTTTACTATTCTTCTTAGGGATGTGTTGGCCAGTAGTTACGTTGTGTGGTAAAATTCTGTTCTTATGTTAGCATGTTGTAGTCTATATTAGACTAAATTGCAGGTTGTAGCTGTATTTAGTATAAAAAGGTTACCATAATAAAGCCATTTCATCTTTAGTGGTTTTTTTTAATTTATTTGTAGGCTTAAACTTTGTAGCAGTTTATTGGAAGGACATCAGTTAGAATACTCTGAAAGGGGATGGGCAGGTGCCAGGGCCGAAGACAGAATAATGAGGAAAAAAATTTAAATATCAAGGTGAGTTCATGCTGACAACTTATTTTACCTCTTCTGTTTCAGTAGCCCATATGCATTATCATTTTACAGAATCCAGCTGTTCAGTCCAAGCAGATCAGTTTCTCTTTTTATCCCTTTATTATATTAGTATTTTATCTCATCTCATCCTATTGTATTTAATGCAGCACCTTAATTAAAAGATCTAATACTTCAGACTTAGTAAATTGAGATATTTACCTGTTCAGCCAGAAAAAATGTGTTTTATCACCCAAATGAGAAGTGCCAGGTTTTTTAATTATTTCAGTAGCAGCGTTTCTGCATCAGTATTTTTGTGATGAAGTCATAACTTCACATTTGCAGCAGTAGATTTCAATGAAAATTTTCTCTTGAACTGTAGATTGCTGTGGTGCATTAATGGGATGGGTAGTACTCTTGAGCCAAACAGCTTTTATTAGCAGATACTCATTTGTGTAGTTGGATTGTCTTTGATACTCATTTAATGCAGGCTCTGAAACATTATGGACTAGGATATAAACATCTTTTTAACAGTGATCTTGGATTATTTTGCATAATAAAACTCATGAAGAATATGGCACACCGTTCTACACTACTTAGATTTTGAATTCTAGCAATATGAGGAAAAGGCAGGTAGAGCTTTTGAAAAAAATTTGCTAATGGCATTTTTCTTTTGACTTCATTGATTTTTTTTAAATTTAAATTCTTTGAGCATGAGTAAGACTTAATATGGATTCACTTTAGAAAAGTGCTAATTCAATATTTGAAAGTATCTAGTCTCTCTTTGTATATAGCAGGACTTCCTACTGTGACGGAAAACACTTTGAAGAATAGGGATGTAGTCTGATAGCAGCAGATCAAGTCTTGGAAAACTGGTGCGGTCGCATAAAATCTGCATTGAAAGAGGAAGAGATTTACAGTCAGCATATGTGCGATCAACGTAAGGTGAAATGTGCAGGTAAAAGAAGCATGCCTGTATACATCACAGTTAAGAGAGCCTCTCTGATCTGCTGGATAGTTGATACTTTGATGCTTTGCAGTTGTCTTTGCTGTAAATAAGGCTCTATTAAGGAGACCATATATTCAGTGTGTTTATAATCACTTATTCTAATGGAAGAAATATCTTTGACTTGTAGAATGTAGCAAGTGAACTAAACAGTGCTCTGTGGCGCAACACATTGGTTTCCGGGGATGCAAAGATCAATATTTAGAGAGACATTGCCTTTAACAGTGAGTTTTAGGTGCAGTGAACCCTAACTCTCAGATGGCAGGAACTTCGTCTGTGGAAGGTGAATGTTGCTGGAAGACCAGATAGTGGGTTACGTGATAGAATTCCATGCCACCCACCTTTTTGCTAAAAGAAAATTTCTGTCTTAAACAGGAAAAATAAATGTGGCTGTTTGGGAACATGGCAAACTTACGGCATTTATATGTCCAGAAGTTTGAATGTATCTGGTTGCTTTTTAAAGGAAAAAACCTTAGTCAGTAGGACACTTAAGACATGGCAGGAATGTGTTAATTGGAATTGAGGGAAAAATGTATTTAATGAATTAATAATCATATTTAGGTAAAAATTATGTGAGGTATTGGGAAAGATAGGCTCAACTGCTTCATTTTCTTTTTGACAAATACTTTAGGAATATAGAGTATGTAGTACTCTGTTGTTCCAGTAACTTGGTTCTCAAAGTGTTCATACTATTTGTAACACTTTCTTTAGCATGGACAATATGTCTTTGTCTTTTATACTGTGCTTTAAGCTCACGGTATGCAGTGCTCTGTGCCATTTACTGCTACTGTAACGCTACAGCTTAAAAGAGTAAATGTTTTGCTGTTAATGACTAGATACATTATATTTATAGAATGCTGTTATCTACCTTTTTGTTTAGGTTTCTCCAGATCTTCAAGGATAGATTGTTTTCTGCAAGCTCTGCCTCAAGTGTAAAACTTTAGATTTCATTAAGCCTGTGCTACGATGATGATGGATGTTCCTTAAAGCTTTTATGACAGTGCTTCTGCTTTACCTGCGTTGGCAGATGACATGTGCGTCGTGTTGTAAAGGCTACTTCAGCTGATGGATTCTGTTGCCATTTGGAGATCGTGCTATGCTTAGAATGCACTAATGTTATGCTGGTGAATTGGTCCAATATCGAGTCAAACTGAAGAATGCCACCCCTTAAACCAAGAAGTTAAACCCCTTTTCTTCTGCTGGACCAGAACTGTACATCCAACCTGAAGAACTGCTTGAAAAGAATGTAGATAATTCCAGCCTTTCTCCAGTTGTTAAAGACAAACTGTTCTTTGCTTTTGAATTGGGTGGTCATCCGTTTAGCTTATTTACCGTTCTCTGAGACAAGGTCTGTTAAGCTAGCTTTGCTGAAGCCTGGTAAGAGAAGAGAACTGAAAGGTAGATGGTTTATCAAAATCAGATCCCCCTCTTCGAGAGGATGAGTGACTGTTTGAACAGCAACACAGCCTAAATACCTGGATTTTGCTGTTATGAGTGTTGCAGCCCAACCTGAGGACCCAGTCTACTGCTAAGAGTGTAAGAGGATGAATTCAGTCCTGCTGTTCCTACGGGAATTGGAGATGAGCAGCAGTGTTTGCAGGTTTAGAGCTGCTCTTGGGCACAGGGTATGCAGGCTAAGGGTTGTGACAGTGTTGAGATAGGCTTTCCTTTGTTTTACTCTTCTAGCACTGTGCTCAAAAGGTCAGAGGGAGGGCTGAGGCTACAGTGGAGTTTAGACCAGTTTCGTATGTCAGTTAAAAGAATTTTTTATAGCCCTTGTGGCATTGTATGTAGCATGTGCTGGGATACAAAGGTCTGTTAGAGCTGGGAATTGTCTCTTTGCAGGAGCTTGGTTTGGTTCTTCTCAAGGCCACTGCAGAACCATGGCAGTGCTAGGGATGGCACACAGCAGCCTTGCTGCGGGGCTGGCAGCGTACCCAAGGGCCAAAAGCCCTTGTGCTGCTGAGGTGGAAGTAAGCTGCTTCCACAGAAACAAGCTGCTCCCAGCCCCTTCCAAAACATCATTTCCAGACATGCTCAGGCGTGGGGTTCAGTTTTGTCCCTGCACAAGGGTGGCTCACTCACAGACCGCAGAGCACAGAGTGTGTGTATACAAGCAACACATCTGTACAGCACTTTCTAAAGAGGTAATATTTAGAACCTTGTTCCAGTGTGCACGCTTTCATGTGATTTATGGTGATTGTAAATAGGGGAATGTGTTACACACTTGGCATTTTGTCTTTATGCAGAAGCATTAAAAACTTCAAAAGTCCTTGTTAGTCTGCTTTTATGTTGTCTGAGTTTCATTATAAAAGGAATATGTGGGTTCAGTAGTCCTTTTTTTGTTTGTTTTTGGGTGTTCTGTTTATTTTGGAGGGGCTTTTTTTAGACCTTGCTAAAAGGGGGAAGGAGGACTCTTCAGAGATTAAATCAAACTCTTGAAGCAAGTTTCCAGCTTGGGTTGTGACCAGCCCATCAGTTTATATCTTGACATCTTGTCATGAATTTGTATTTAGTGCACTGTAGCCTAGTGGAAGGGAGCAGCTGAAGCCCCAGTATGTATTCTGCCATGAGAAAGGTGTCCTCTTGGAGAGGATGGAGCTGTTAGGTGAGAGTAATAGGCTGTCATGAAATACTTCAGCTCAGCTCTCAGAGTCCTTAAGCTTTTGCCTGTGATGAACGGGGCCTGCAGTGGATTTATGGACACAAATCCATAGGATTTGTAATTCATCAGTCCTTAAAAGATCTTGTATTTTTCAGTTGAAGATACTTAGACTAGAAATAGAATAACCAGTCTGCCTGTGGCAATTAAATTTTGGGTGGATTTATTCCCTAATCCAGGTTCTGTACGTGTGGACAAGCTGTGATAGCACAAGGAAAGGCATGAAACTGAGCAGATGAGGTCTGAGGTCTGGTAAAGTCATTTCAAGCAATGCTGTCGCTGGATGTAGAACCATCGTAGTGTCTTCTAATTAGTAACAGTAACCTTGTCAGTCTAAACAGAGCGGTTATAACTGGAATGCAGTCCGTCCACTCCTTTATTTATCCAAGGCTATTT